AACTGTTTTATATATAGATTTTATTTTAGTAGTCCTGATGATTTGAGAAGGCTAAATTGATCAAACATAAGCTATACGCTATGATCAATTCACTGTCTGCCGCTGACCGTTACTTTAAAAAAAAAAAAAAAAAACTTACATTTAACGTACAAAAAATACTCCAAATGTTTTTCTAAATTTACTTTATAAAAAAACGAAACGAAATATAATCACTTTTCCATTACATACAAAACTGAACTATTTTAATAGCTGAAACAGTAGTATATGCTTTTTTTGGGAAAAGGGGAAAAAAAGGCCTATATTTGAGGCCCGTGCAGGGCTTTAATCCACTTCATCCAAAGCTGTTTTGTTCTCATCTGTGAGCATGCTCTTGATATATTTATTTTAGGTGTCTAAATGTATAATTGCCTTCTCAATATTTGTGCAGTTTTATTTAAATTTGTAGTTAAAACAACTAAAAATAAATTTATTTATAAGTTTAGAATTAGACAGCCTTTGCACACAGGCTTACGCTGAAAACAACAAAAAAGGAACCTCAAGGTTGATCTAGAAAAATGTGTGCAAATGTATAGGGCCCCATTCCTATATTTTGCCTGGGGCCCCCAATTCACTAAATCCGCCCCTGAAAACAACAAAAAAGGAACCTCAAGGTTGATCTAGAAAAATGTGTGCAAATGTATAGGGCCCCATTCCTATATTTTGCCTGGGGCTCCCAATTCACTAAATCCGACCCTGCATGTCAGTCTGGCCAGGATGCTAAGACAAAAGTTTTGATAGCACCTCAGAGCCACTTTTCAGGGCAATTAACCCATAGTTCAAATAATAATAATAATACATTTTTATTTAGCATAGCGCCTTTAAAAGGCTACTTTCTCAAAGCGCTTTACAACACAAGCAAACACAACAATCCGAATTGAAACACAAAAATACAGAATAAAAATCAGTTAAAAGCAAGACAGAAATAAAAAGTTTTAAGATGAGATTTAAAAATACCTAACAAATTTGCTTCCCTGATGTCAGCTGGGAGAGAATTCCAAAATTTGGGGGCGTAAGATGAAAATGAGTTAACTTATATGACTAACTTATAGTTTACATATATAGGTGCATCTCAATAAACTAGAATGTCGTGGAAAAGTTCATTTCAGTAATTCACCTCAAATTGTGAAACTCGTGTATTAAATAAACTACTTCAGTCTGTGTGCATTGAATTTAAGTCTTTGGTTCTTTTAATTGTGATGATTTTGGCTCACATTTAACAAAAACCCACCAATTCACTATCTCAACAAATTAGAATACTTCATAAGACTAATAAAAAAAACATTTTTAGTGTAGCAGTTGGCAGCGCACTTCAGAGCAACCTAAATCAACATCTAAGATAAATGAATGCTCTTTTAATCCATATTGCTGTGTATATTTGCGTGGTCTGCCTAATTGAATACAAAATGAGCAACCGTAAACAATTTTGAACTAAGTGTCATGTTAGCAGTTTGCATTGTATGCAGCAGTGAAATATTAAGCATATTAGCAGCAGAATTTAGCATGTTTATACAGCTGGAGGAAAAGGCAGTTTAAAGCTTGTAATCGCTCTGAGGACACATTAATAGTAATGAACATGAAAACAGGTTAAATTAAATAAGCATTTCAACAGGGGTTCTCCATATACATCGGTGATTATCCCAGTGTTCACGTTCGTTATTTCTAAGGTCGATGTTTTCATTGTGATGAGTGCGTGGTTGATTTCAGTTGCACGCAGCATCAGAAGCACGCGCTTATCACAGTCATATCAACGATAGTGTTGCGGGAGAAGGGAATTAAGAGTTATCGCTATGGTTGTTGCAGTTCCGAGTGAAATGCATTATGGGTAGTGTAGTTCGGAGAAATGTGCTCATGTGACGTGTGCTATCGTGTGTTGTGTAATTCAGAAAACGGAGAAAGAACGTTTATATTCTGCTTTATTTGTTCATTCAAGTCAGTCCACCCAGGAGTTTGTGCACTGTAACCCTGATAACTTTATCTACATGAGAGAGTAAATGGCATGCATTTGCTAACTTGTCTGTCTCATCATTGCACAAACATGAATTAACAAGCTGTTATGCTGCCGCTGGGACTGATGAAGTGCAGAAAGTAACAGCAGATATTAAATGACTAAATTTTGATATTTGCTCAGGTGGATGCTGGGGTCTTATCTATCGGATTGCAACGTATATCCATTTTGTTAATGAACATTACACACAGTGCGCGTCTAATTAGATTTAAGCCAGTCGGCGAGGCAGCTCAGGCGCACATAGTCGTAGGCCATTATTGTTAAGCCGGTCGGCGTGGTAGCCAAGGCTCACATAGTCGTTAGGCCACTATTTTTAA